CAGACAGAGTAAGTGAAGGCGGAAGTGGTCTCTCTCCCCCTGCCAAACCCCATGCCTCTGGGACGGGGACGATGGCCATTGGGCAGCTTTGGGGATGGCGTAAGGGCTTGATGAGACGAGGAAAGGAAGACCCCAGAAACACCTGGGGTCACAAGGTGAAGATGAGTGGACAGTAGCAAGGGGCACGGGGGTCCCCACACATGGGACTGCAAGAGCAGGAATTGGACCGGCATCGCACCCTCCATACCCACCCCCCACAACAAGAGCTCCTCCAAAGCAGCCTGGGCCAACTCTTAGGCCAATGTCTTATTCCCACACTGGATGGCAGCAGGAGAGGTGGGGAAAGCTAAGCAGTGGCCACCCCCAGATACCAGGAACCCAGGGGGTCCCCCATTCCCTGGGGAAACCCTTGGGCTGAGGATTCTCACACACACCTTGGGCCCCTGTCCCACCCCCTCAGGACCAACTGAGGCCCAACTAAGGGCTCAGGTCACTAATTTGGAACCCGGGCTCTGTCCCCACTTCCCTCCGCCCTGGGGACTCCATCTGCCTCCAGGGTCCCCTGGAGTGCTCAATAGCTCTCCCTGCCCCCAGTGCCTGCAAAAGCAAATCCTATCATTGTCAGTTCAAATTTTTCCTGAAGAGGAAGCCTTCTTTCTTGCTAAGAGAAAGGCTAAACCAATCCATATAATAAAGTGTTGGGGGAAAGGGATGGATGAATGGGGAGGAAAGAAAAACGTAGGGGCTGGCTGTGGAAGGAGGGGAGTTTTTCCTTTCGGGTGGAAGGGAGCGATGCCAGAGCAGTTTTGAGATGGGTTAGGAGTGAGTAGGAGAAGAAAGGAAAAGAGGGGGATACTCATAAGCATGTGCCAGGCTGTGCCAAGCTGACCTGTAGATTCAGCTCTCCTACTCACCCTTTCTGCCATTCATTAGCTGTGTGACCTTTAGTAACTTACATCATCTCTCTGAGCCTTAAAGCAGCGAACTATTATTATTATTTAAGGTGTAAGGATCCCTGTTTAACCAGTGAAGGAACAAATGCAGTGAAATGAAATGACTAGGCCAGTCACACAGCCAATGAATGGCAGAGATGGGACTCAAATCCAGATCTTTTTTTTTTTTTCCACATCCAGATCTTTTGTCCCTGAGGCTATTACACCAACCGTGGGGTCCCTCTGCCCTTGAAGAACTCCTGGTGTGAGAGCTCAGATTCGGGCTACAGATATACTCAGGGCAGACCAGGAAGGTTCTGAAGGAAATGAGGCTTGAGGTGGATGTGAGGAATGGTGAGGGGTGAGGGGATGCTATTTCACAGAAGCAGGGAGGTGGCAGCAGGACTGAGCGGCTCAGGGGCGCACATCAAGGAATCGTGGGAGATGCCACCAGAGGAGCAAGGGTGTGTATCGGGAGTCTTGCATTTCTGGCAGAAGCATTTAGATGTAACAGTTAATGGAATCAGAACAGGCACAGGGTGGGCTCTCTTACCTCTGTCCCTAACTCTATGGCCTCCTGTAAGTCTTTCCCCTTCTCTGGGCCTCGAAATTTCCATCTGCTCAATAAAGAGATAAGACCAAATGATTTCTAGATGATGTTCAAAGGAGATGGTGTTTGTAGCAGATTAGGCTAGCTGCCCCAATATCCACTCTCTCCTCCTTCCATCATAAAAGAGTTTAAAGCGGGCATATGACCATTCAGCTGAAGACATCTCCTGGGCTGTTCTTGCAGTGAGGTAAGGCCATATGACTAAGTTCTAAGCAATGAGATGAGAGTTTGAGTGACTTGTGCCATTCTGTTTTTACAAGTGGATGAACCCACCTGTGGCAAATGGCACCAACAGTGGCCACAAAAATCCTTCCTATCCCACAAGTAGTTCTACGATGAGGTCTAAGTCCCCTCTTTTTGAATGAATGCAGGTAAACCTGTGACCGCTTGGACCAGTAGAGTATAGTGGAAAATGCTCTGTGACTTCTGAGGCCAGGTCATAAAAGGCAATTGTTACGAGTTAAATTGTGTTCTGCTACCCCCCCTTCCAATTCATATGTTGAAATCCTAACTCCGACTACCTCAGAATGTGACCTTATTTGGAAGTAGCGTCATTGCAGATGTAATTAATTAAGATGAGGTCATACTGGAGTAGGGCAGGCCCCTAATCCAACATGACTATTGTTATTATAAAAAGGGAAAGGGGACATGGGTTTGTGCCCCGGTCCGGGAGGATCCCACATGCTGCGGAGCGGCTGGGCCCGTGAGCCATGGCCGCTGAGCCTGAGCGTCCGGAGCCTGTGCTCCGCAACGGGAGAGGCCACAGCAGTGAGAGGCCCGCGTACAGCAAAAAAAAAAAAAAAAAAAAAAAGGGAAATTTGGACACAGAAGCGGACACGCATAGAGGGAAAATGATGTGAAGAGACACAGAGTGAAGACCCCCATCTAGAAACCAAAGAGAGAGGCCTGGAACAGATCCTTCCCTCACAGCCCTCAGAAGGAACTGTTGTTAAACCACCCAGTTTGTGGTACTTTGTTACAGCAGCCTTAGCAAACTAATACAGCAATGTAGCCGCCTTCTGGTTCTCTTGGAGCATTCATTCTGGGGGAAACCAGCTACCGTGTAAGTCCAACTACCCCAAGACATGATGCTGGAGAGGCCACATGTAGGTGCCGGGCTGGGATCCCAGACGACAGCCAGCAGCACCTGCCAGACCCAGCCAACCTCTGACAGCCACTGCATGGGAGGCTCCAAGGGGCAACTGCCTAGTCAAGCCCTTCCCAGTCCTGACACACAAAATAATGAGTGAAATATAGCGGTTATTTAAGCCACTAAGTTACAGGATAACGTGTTACACAGCGTAGTAACGAGCGCACCTCCTCTTTCTCCTTCCCTCTCTTCCCAGTGGCTAGAACATGGATGCGGTGATGGTGAGCCATCTTCAGTCGTGTAGATGGGGGCGTGGGGAAGCCTCAGAATAGAAACCTGGGATGTTGGATGCCCCCATGGAGCAGAGATGCCAACTCCCCAGATGCCACTCTTACTTTACGTAGGAGAAAAATAAGCTTCTTTCTTGTTTAAGCCATTTTTAATTCTGTCTCTATTTTAAAAGCCAGATCAATACCCTGGCAATATAATGTATGTAAAACAAATAGCTCAGTGTCTAGCACATAAGTATGTGCTTTTTTTTTTTTTTTTTTTGGCCACCTGCGCAGCTTGCGGGATCTTAGTTCCATGACCAGGGATCGAACCTGGGACCCTGAAGTGAAAGCACCGAGTCCTAACCACTGGACCACCAGGGAATTCCCGGTAAGCACTTAAAAAAAAAAAGTAGCTATTTGTATTGTCGTCATTAATGTTACATCTAAGGTTCCCTCCAGCTCCAACACTGGTTGGGTTTGATCAGCAGTGGATTAACCACCTCTCAACACTCCCCCCAGTGGACGTGAGGCAAACCCATGTCACTGATGTTGACCCAGACACGTCAGACTGGGCAAAAATTGTCTGTGGTCATATAATTTATACCAGGGTTCTCTTCTATTAGCCTCAAACTGACCACGGCTCTCCCAAGCAGACCAACACACAGGGGACCATGGACACCAACACAGATTCACATCCTCCCACTTCTCCAACCACAAAAATGAACCAAAGCTTGTGGCAGCCGTTGCGTGCTCCCATCCCACCTCTGCTGGGGCGCGGGATGGGAGGGGGAAGGGACAGAGTAGAGGAGAGAAGACAGGGGGAATTGTGATGGGAAGTGGGTCTCAGATAATGGCAATACTGTAGGGAGAGGAAACCAGAGAAATGAACTAACTCCACCCCCCAAGCAATCAAGAAAAGCTTCTGGGATGAGGTTGCCACTACCCTGAAGCTGATCTCCAGACTGAAGAGAGGGAAAGGGATCTACAGGCAGGGGGAGTGGCCTGGGCAAGGGCTTAGAGCATTAGAGTCCACACAGCCTGTGACCTGACCAGGCCCTGGACCTGCTTTCATCTCACCCTTCTGCCCTACCTTCAGGGAGGCCGGAGGGCAGCGCAGGGGAGGGTAGGTGTTAGAGCCCCAGGGACTCCAAGGCAGGTTGTGTCTGAGCAGGGGCCTCTTCTGCAACTATGGCAGAGCCAGCTTGAGGGTCCCCTCCCAGAGCCACCTAATGAGGGTATCCTTGTTATGGCCTTGTCACAAGGAGGGCATGGTTAGTGACTTATCTACTGGGTGTAAATTCAGAAAGGGGAGGGCGGCTGCTGAGAGAAAGGGCAGCCTCCACACTCCCATCGCTCCTCCTGCCCAGGGAACGGAGGTGTTAGAAATGACCCCTTCCCCCAGCACACACACCCACCTCACCCCCCAAATAACTCTCCCTCCACAGCCCCATCGTGGGTCCCATCTCCACCGCCAACCACTACAGCCCGGGGGGTTAGTAATACACCTCCTCCTCGGGGTAACCGGGGTGTTGGTGTGAAGCCCACGCTCCCAACCACCTTCATCTTTGGGGGATGGGGGCAACTCTGTCTCCACCTGCTCTGCTGGGCTGCCTAGCATGCTCCTTTCCACACTTTTCACCCTTCAGCGACAATTCTCGCTGCTCCTCTCTACCCCTTTTGAAGAACTTCCAACCTCTCCCCACCCCACCGGACTAGAGAGTTCCAGAGGACCCCAGTCTGCATGCTATCCACTCCCCGCGCCGAGTGGCAGCGTTTTCTCTAAGCTCGGATCAGAGAGAGCCCCGCCACTCCACCCCAGCCCTGGCCTGGGGCGCCTTTTGTCTCACGTGCCATCTTCTATCCTCCCAGCTCTCTCGTCTCCACCCTCCACTCCCACCTGGATGCCACCTCCACGAAGGAGAAGGGAAAGGAAATAGAAACGCACGCTTTCCACGTCAGTGAAATTTGCTCTTTATTTAGGGACCAAGGAAGGACCACACACAGCCCTCCAGCCCAGGGGCGGGGGTACCGAGAAATGGAATGAGGACCCCACCCCGAACCCTCCCCAGACGCAGCAAGCGGGAGAGGAATCCAGGTTCCGGGGTCAGGAGCAAACATGCAAATGAGGTTGGTGAATCAGCGTATCTCTCAGGAGGCCTTGGGGGTCTTCACCACAGGTAGGCGCCTTCTGGCCTGTAGGAGGAAAAGGAAAAAGAATCACACGGAGCCCGGCGTCGGATCTGGGGAGGCGAGACTTGGGGAAAGTACTAGGTGGCGGTGCCAGGGTGGCGGTAGGACCAGGCCACGCTCCAGGAGGCAGAGCGTGTGCCGGGGCGCTTTTACCGCGACTTGACGGGCCGGTCCTCGGCATCTGGGAAGAGCAGTTTGGAGAGGAGAGCTTCCGAGATGTCACGTTTCCCGTACCTGCGGGGCGGGGCCAGAGGTGGGCGGGGTCAGGCCCGGCCGCGCCCCTAGTGGCGACCCCGCCCCGCCCACCCCGCGCGCGAGCTCACCGCTGCCGAGTGAGCAGGTTGAGAAAGTGGCGCAGCGAGAGGTAGTAGCGCTTCAGCTCCTCCGGCGAGGCGAGCGCGCCGGGAGCCTCGGGTTTGGCGGGGTAGGCGTCGACCAGCGCCCCCAGGCAGAAGAGCAGGGCCAGCAGCACTGTGGCCATGGCGGGCCACGGCCTGCGCACCGTCACCATCTGGAGAAGGGGCACCGGAGTCAGCCCGAGCCTCTACCCCTGAGGCAGGAGGCTGAGGCTGCCGTGGGGCCCACGCTCCAGCGGCCTGGCTGGGGCTGGTACCCGACCAAGGGTCAGCCACCTGCTCGCTGTGTGTTCTCAGGCACTGCACCGTCTCTGGCCTCAGTCTCCTCATCTGTCAGAGGGGCATAAGCCCTGCCTGCCTGCACCCGTGTTACCCAGAAGGGCAGATGGAGGAAGAAGGCTATGCTGACAATGGGGGCTCCCCCGCCTCTCTCCTTCCCACGTCGGCTGGCCCCCTTCCAATCCAGCTTCCTGCCACTCAGTTTCCCCCATCCTAGCCTCAGTTTCCCCACCAGATAGCCTGAGATCCCCAGCACCAGACCGTTCCTGGGTCCCAGGCCACTCACAGCGACCGCTCCAGAGGCAGAGATGACCAGGAGATGGAAGGCGAAAGGAGTCCTAAGGGCTGGGCTGCTGCAGGTCGGGCTGCGGCCTACTCAGCTCAGGGCTTTCCCTCGGGGCTTATATCCAGGCCTGGAAAGGGAGGGGGAACTGGAGGGGGGAGGGCTCTTCTTCCTTCCTCCCTCCACCCCATGCCAGATCGCTGAGCTTACACCCAGACAGTGCGTGATGTCTCCACCTCCAAGGAGCCGGGGAGCGGGGGAGCTCCCACACTCGGACTCAAGGTACCTCTGGATAGGGTGCCTAGCTGGAACCCTATCTTCACCCTACAACCCCCCAACAGCAGGTCTAGCCTTCGGAGGAAGTGAAGCATTTGGATCTAGGTTCCTGGGATGACCCCTAGGATCAGGGCTGAGATTCCATCTTTCCTAGCCTGTCCACGGGTGGGGGTGGGGGCTCGGGGGGAAGGGGGGCAGGAAGCC